TCTTCTAAGCCCTGGGGGCCAGCCCGGGCCCCAGCCCCGGCCCCAGCCCCGCGCGGCCGCCCGCCAAGCCGCCCGAGGACGAGCCGGACGCCGACGGCTACGAGTCCGACGACTGCAGTAAGTTTCCAACTCGCCGACTTCTCGCCCCTCCCCGGCTCGGGCTCGCGCGCGCCCCCCGACCTCGCCGGCCCCTCGGTCCCCCGCGATCTCTCGTGTCCCCTTGGCATACACCCCCGGCCGCGTCTCGGCCCCCTCGCCTGCTCCATGCGCTCTCTGCGCGCCCTGCAGATCCAGCCCCGACACCTCCCCCGACCCCGACTGGAAAGGTGGGAAGTTTGGGGGCGTTCCCTGGGGGTGTCTCACCTCCGGGCCCCGGCTCCCCGGAGCCTGCGCCGCGCCCCCTCTCCGCCCACCCGCCGGGAGCTCCGGCGCGGGCGGCGGCTTTTGTTTCCGGGAAGGGCGGAGCTGCGCCCCGGGGAGACACCAGTTGCTGTGGCCGCGCGGTCGCTCCCCGCCCAGGAGCCCGCTGCGGGCCAGCCCCGCGGCCGAGGGTCCAGGCTGGGGTGTCGGGAGGAGGGGCCCGGGGATGGAGCCGGGCGGGCCTCGTGGGTGGGCCTGGCGGCCCGCAGAGCGAGGCGGCTTTGCTGGCGCGCGGGCCGAGGACCAGAGGACCGCGGGGCCGCTTGTCCTTTGGAAAAACCTTGGCGGTTCCTCCTCCCGCGTCCCTGGACCCCGCCGCTGCGCTCGCCCGGGCTGCCGACCTTCGCGCACCTGTTACGCCCACTTCCCCCCGCCGGGAAGGGCCCCGCAGCCCGCGCCTCCTCCTCCCGGGGTTGAGCCCCGAGCCCCAGGTAGCAGGCAAGCGCCGGGGTCCGCGGGGCCGAGGCCTGGCCGGCGGGCGCTCCTGGCGCCTTTCCCGTCTCTGAGGGTGCCGGCCCCGCCAGACCCGAGACTGGAGGGGAAACCGAGGCTGAAGAGGTCGCCACCAGTGCGGAATGGGTTTGCGCGGGATGGGGGTGGGGATGGAGGGAGCGCTGCTCGCGAGGCCCCCAACCCAGCCGTAGCCCCCGCCGCGTCACTCTCAGACCTGAAACACCAGCGTCAAACGCCAGCCCTGCCCGGGATGTGGACCTTTAGGGGCAGGGGTCCTTCGCGGGCTTCGCCAAGGCCCGCCCGGTCCCATCCCCCGCGCAGCGCAGCGAGGGTGGCTGCGCCGAGCTTGGGTGCTCACAGGGGCCGGGAGCTGGGGGCCTGGAGTTTCTCTGAGCATAATATGTGCCTCTGAAAGCTGACGGTGGAGGGTACCAGTGCCGCTAGGGGGTGAGGGAGGGGCTGGCAGACCTCTCATCGCCCTACCTAGGGAGGCCGGGGAGGAGTGCGCAGGAGGAGGCCGGTCAGAGCCGGGCCTGTGTGGGGAAGCTGCCTGCTATGCACTTTTTCGGGGCCTGGACCACAGCCCTGCGGCCAGAGCCTGGCATATTGAGGCCCTGCCCCCGGGCGGGGGGATGGGGAGCGGCCCTCTCCCTCCACTTTCCTGCCAGCTTGGGGAAATTGGGTTGGGAGAGTTGATTGCCCTCAGGGCTGTGCCCTGGATCTTCCCCATCCCCAGCTCCTGACCCCTGGGCAAAGCACACCGTCACTTGCCGCTCTTCTGGGCAGGCGCTAACTGGGACCCAAGTCACCCTTTTGTATGCCCTGAATCCAAAGCCACCTCCAGAAGAAGGGGTGGGGAACCCACTCCCGTTTCCAGCCTCTTTCCTGCTACTCAAGGGAGTGGGCAGGCAGGCAGGCAGGGCTTCCGCCTGAGCAACAGGCAACCCCTGGTGCCACCAAGGGCCCTCTGGATGACATACTGCTAAGAGGTGAGAGATCTGGTCATTTTTTTTTGGCTGTCTCTGAACCCACAGTCAAGGAGGGGACCAGAAAGTCGCAAAACTCAGGCCGGCTACCCCATCTCCAATCCATCAACTCGGCAGTCCTCCACTGAGGACCGTCCTAGAGCAGAGAGTGGGCAAAGGGAAACAGGGCTGGGTCTCTGCACCCAGAGAGCTCGTGTGTCCTAGCAGGGGACACACTCACTTGGGTCAGCAGTACAGGCAGCCCTGGACACAGCCTTGCCGGCCTGAACTGTGGGCTAGCCACACCCGTATCACCAGGGCACTCTGCAGAAAACAGCTAAGAAGGAGGGCGTGTGAGTGAGCCAGGGCCAGCCTAGGACCCCTTACCCCCTGCAAGGGGTGGCCCACCCTGGGCATGGGTCCTATCAGTGGCCAAGCAAACACGCCAGGCACAGGAGCACAGAAATCTTGGCTCCTGCCCGTGGAGGGACCAGGTTCTGGGGCAGAACTGCTCTCCCCCGAGTACCCCAGACTGTGCCCCCCTCAGTTCTGACAACCAGATCCCTGGAATAAGCCTAAATGATTCAAGCCAGATGGTTCATTACGGCTTTAGCCAGGGTTATGCTATTTGCTGCCCTAATTATTGGATTATCTCTGTTCTAACAAAAAGAAATTAGGGCGGTTGCTCTGTTGTCCAAGGCCGAGAGTGAAGTGCTGTTTATTTATTCGGCCTTTTTTTCCTTCTCTTTAAAGCTCATCTTTTATTAAGTCACCTCAAGCCACAAGCACAAAATTTTAACATGTTCCAAACTGATCTAATAGAGGAGCGATGACGGGGAGAAAATGCAGTGAAGGCTGGAGTTAGAAGGGCACCCAGTGTGCTCCCCACCCAGCAGTGTGGCCTGGCTGGGCTGGACCCAGCTCTGCTGCCCTCCAGGCAGGCCCTGTGCCCCGCCCTCTGCAGGGTGCTCCCACCCACTCACCACCTGTGGAAACCCAGTCCGTTCTGCGGAGCTGGGATGACTCGAACATTTTGGGTTGCAAGTGACAGAAAGCTCAAAGCGCCGTGAACAGTGAGGGCAGCTGAGGTTGTGTGGCCCTGGGGCAGGTTGATGCTGCCCCTCGCCAGGGACGTCTGTGGTGAGGGTTCTGGCCGTCCCTCCACTTGGCCACACTCTTTTCCTCTTCAGCTGACCTCCCTCATTGTCCAGGGTGGCTGCTGCAGATCCAGGCATCACATGCAACAATAAGATCCTAAATTTGATAAGGATCAGTTTCCTCTCCCACATCTCCGTTTAGGGGTGAGGAAACGCTCCCGGAAGTCCCCAGGAGACCTGTCCTTCTGCCTCATTGGCCAGAACTGCACCACGTGCCCACGCTTACACCTGCCCCTGAGTGATTCACCCTGGGCTGCGTCAGGACTGAGGCCCATGGGGGGCTGGAGAAGGATGGAGCGGAGGAATCGCTGTTAGGCCTGCCCCAAAGGCCCTCAGCTGGGAGCATTTCCCGGTCCCCCTGGCTGAGAGTCCCGTTCCTGAGCCCAGTCATGTTCTGCCCAGACCATATTTTTATGCGCTCCACATTACATGCCCGACTATGTGTCAGGCACTGTGCTGGGCACAGAGATTCGAGAATGCCTGGGACACAGTCTCTGACGTCAGGGACTTCATGGAAACCAAGACACACAGTAGCCCAGCGGTAAGGGCAGGGAGGCAGGAACCCAAACGGGAAGCCCCGGCTTGCACAGCGCTCACCCAGGAGAGGGCTCTGCTCCAAGGCTGGGGGGAAGGAGGAGGCAGGCCGGCAGAGTGGAAGGAGGAAGGGAGGTGCTCCTGGCAGGGGGACTGCTCTGTGCCCAGGTAGAGAGATGTAGGAAACACAGCCCCGCAGAGGCACAACAGAGTCAAGTGGCTGAAGCAAGGGGAAAAGACCAATGAGGAGGCCAAAGTGGTCATATTACAGAAGGCCTTAAATGCCACACCAAGGAGGTTGAACTGAATCCAGGGGGCAGTGGAGAACCGTTGAACAATTGAAAGCAGGGGAATGAATAGATTGATAAAAGTCCTAACCCTCAGCCTCCAAGCTCCTGGGAAGCAGGATGTATGGCTCCTTCCTCTGTGTACCCCCTGCAGTGCCTGGCTCAGTGCCACAGTTTCCCCAACTATAAAATGCTTTCAACTCAAGCTTGATCATTTTCTGTGGTTCTTGCCATAGTTTTTTTAAAACTATTTGAGAGGCTGACATTTTTCTCAAAAAAAAAAAAAAAAACAGGGCAGATTTCCTATTCCCAAGGGCATCTGAGTGAGGAGGGTCAGGTGCAAACCAAGGTCAGAGGGATGCTGTCAGTCTCCATCAGCCCAACAGAGGGATGTTCAGCCTTAGAGGAACCAACAGGGGCTCGAGCTTGATTTTCTCTGAATTAGCCCCATTAAAGCTCTATAATTATCAACAAGCGGGTGACAACTCTCAAAGGCCCATTAGTGACCAACCCTCATTATTCTTCCAAGGATGTAAACTTCAGCCAGGACGTGTGATTGGAGTGGCGGACCCCGTGGCTCATGCAGACAGGCACCTTCACCTGCCCTTAGTGCCCTCCTCACCCACACCACAAGCCCAGGGTGCGGTTCCAACTCAGAGGCCCACCAGGGCGGCGGCCGAGCCCTCCCTCCTCCCCAAGAGCAGCTCTGCTCTTCTCTCGTTCATTTCTCCATGGCATCCTCCTAGGATTTCAGCTAAACAAATTGGCAGACACAAATTTTGGGAAGCCGCTGAGCTTTAAGGCAGGAACTATCAGGATGGAAGTGAAGAGGCCTGGATTCTGCATCCAGCTGTGCTGTGCCACGCTGACCAGGTCACCTGCCCTCTCTGAGCCTCACTTCTCTGAATGGGAGAGGAAGACTTCGGACTGTCATCTCCCTAAGAGAGCTCCACCACTGGCAAGTCTCTAAAAATGGTGTCCAAGCTTCTATTTATAATTTCTTACAAAACTTCCATTGGAGTTCAAAGAAATTCATCCATCGCATCCTGGGGCGGCACTGGGTGTGCTGTTCCTTCCTGGGAAGAGTAACAGGTGTTGAGTCACTGAGCAGCATCGGGCCTCGTCGAACAGGGCTGTCTGCAAAGCCGGTGGGCAGGACTCTTCTCTCCCCCTGGGGCTGAGTTGCTCAGTGGGGAGCAGGGGCCCCTCCGCCTCGCTGGCTCATCCTTCTCTGGGATCGGGGAACGGGCCGAGATCTTGGGGTGTGCGTTTTAATGCACGGGCATCACACCAAATCCTGGGTCCTGTGAGCAGCTGCAGAGCAAGTTGGTTTGATCGGCCTGGCCATGTGGACTGAACATCTATTATTTGCTGGTGTCACGGGTGTGGCTGAGGCGTGGTCCCTGCCCTCGGGAGGCTAATGTCTGGGGGAATGAGGCACGGGCAGGCCTGAACAGAACAGCAGAGTGATTTACTGTCATGTAAAGCCAACAGCTTTGGAGAACGTTATTACGAAAGCATAGACCTGGAGAGTCTTGGGCCTGCGGCTGTGTTAGTGTTACAGGCGTGGGGAGGTGGACCCCACTTACGGCTCTGCACCTGCCCACCCGCATAGACGGGAGCGAGGATACAGGCAGCCAGAGGCCAGATACAGTTAGCCCTAAAGCTCACGTCCTCCCCCAGGAGCAAGTCCCCAGGCTCCACTCAAGGCCTGTCGACTCTTAGTTTGGACACAATTCTAACAGGTATTCTCACCTGGTTTCATAGAAGAAACGGTTAACTACTGAATAGGAGGGAGGGCTGTCTGTGCTGCCAGAGCCAATACTCTAACAGGAGTGTCAAGATGATGGCAAAGGAGGAGGCAGAAAAATGAAGAAAACATCAAAAAGAGTGGCCGCCTGGGATCACTTGGTGGAGGAATCGTCTCGTGCCCCTTCCGCGTCTGGGCTGTGACAGTGACATACGGAACAGTAATCGTAGTCAGGGCAGTGACTCCGGTTATTCAGACAAGTGTAGGTGACCATTTGTATGTTCTGTTCACAAAGGCTGGGAGGGGTGATCCAGTTTAGAACGGGTTCATTCCAGAAGGCGTCTCAGAGGGGCAAGTGCAGTTTATCTAGGAAAATCACCTAAGTATAATTATAGCACCTTCTATAATTATCCGCTGAGTGCTTTCTGTACCCCAGGCGCTGTTAAAGCACGATGCCGTGAGGTCAATACTATTGTGTCTCCATTTTGCAGATGAGGAAACTGAGGCACAGTGAGGCTAGATAAATTTTCTAAGATCATGCAGCAAGGAAGCGCAGAGCCAGGATTTGAACCCGGGGCCAATGTCAGAGGGTGGGTCTCCCACCTGACACTGTGACCCTCAGGCAAGGACAGAGACCCTGAGCCGTGTGCCTTAGGAGCTGTGTTAGGAGCTGGGGGGCAAGGAGATGAGACTCGGCACCGTCCCCTCAGAATAAAGGGCCGCTTCACACACACGACCTTAATGTGCCCATTTCCCTGCAGACCCGGAATTTTGCCAGTCCTGGGCCCCTGCACCAGCCCAGGCCAGCGGGCCATATGGTCTCTGTGGCATTTACTCCTATCTGCCGTTGTAGTGCGAAAGCAGCCAGGGACAAGATGTAAACCGATGGGCGTGGCCAGAGGGCCATAGTTTGATCTAGACCCATGCTGGGTGCCCCTGGCCTGAAGAATAGAGCCCTGCCCTGCCCCCAGCATCACTCCAGCCGCTCAGCCCCACATGCTCTGGTTGTACTGTGGTTGGAGTGCCCCCTCCCCCAGCCCCACTGTGCACTGGCCAACTCCTGCTCATCCTTCATGGCTGAGGCGAAGCGTCACCTCCTCCAGGAAGCCTTCCCTGATGGCCTCAGTTCACGCTGAAGACAGGCATCCCCCTTGGATCCCCCCCTCATCGCTCCTGGCCCACCAGACTCTGTTGTGGCAAATTCTTTTCATCTGCTCCTCCCATTAAGCTTTGCTTTCCTTGGGGCAGGAACCCTGCCTCATTGAAATCTCCATCCCTAGAGTCTGGCAGTTGTAAACACTTGGAAATGAATGAATGAGATGCTGGTTGACCAGCCCAGCAGCCTTCAGGCTTGTAAAGACATCCTGTGATGTGCACCTTGCTGTCCGGACACTGCCCCCGAGGTCTGCCCCCACCCACAAGCCCTGCCTTCGTGCAGGGAGCCATGCTGATGTGGAAGGCCACAGCTGCAGTGTGTGATTGCCCCTGAGGGTCGCAGCTGCACCCAGTTATTGCTGCACCCTCTGCCCGGCCCTTGGGAATCGCCCGCTGCCTTTGAGAGGCTTGGGGTAGCAGCACGAGGACCCAGCTGGCTCCACACAGGCTGCCCAGGCCCCCAGGGACCAGAGAGACCTGGGAGCCACAGCCCCAAGGGTTGCGTGGGGGTGGGTGAGGGGATCAGCCAGTCAGCCGGGCCAGGGCCTGCAGCCTCGCAAAGCCCTCTCTCTTCTGCCTTCTCCCACAATCCTTGTGACATCTAACAGGCGAGGGAAACTGAGGCAAGGCGCCTATACGGGCAGCTGTACAAGGAGGGGAGGAGGACAGGACCTCCTTTAGCTGAGTGGCCGGTACACGTGGACGCCACACTGGCCCCGCCACAGGCCGAACAGCACCGCACAGGGCTTAGGGGGCTGGGCTGGGGGCCCACCAGCTGGGTCCAACTCTTGGGCCGCTACTCACAGTGACAGGGGTGGCCGACCCTCCACTGCTCATCTGGAAAGCGAGGAGACTAGTGCTCACTTCCCGGGGTTGGTGGGACTGGCAGGCTGGGAGAAGGGACTGGTGTGCAGTGGGTGCTCAGTTGGTGGCAGTCGCCGTGGGGACTGCGGCACCTGCCCAGGGCAGCTCGTCTGACCTCACAGCGCTGGGTGACCTGAGCCCTCCTCTGTCCACAGCCACCCTGGGCACACTGGACTTCAGCCTGCTCTACGATCAGGAGAACAACGCCCTCCACTGCACCATCAGCAAGGCCAAGGTAGGCCTCGGCGGCCCACGGGCCCCACGGCCAGGGCCTGGAGGAGGCGCTGTGGTCCAGTGGTTTCCTGTCCAGGCGTGGGGCGTCCCTGCTGGGTGGGGTGCAGGGCAGGGGCAATTCTTGCCTCCATCACCCTAGCTGCCCTGAAAGGGCCTGTACAGCGAGGTGTCTGGGGGAAGAGAATGAGATGAGGGCCGGGGGGCTTTCAGGGCACAGAGGCCCCCAGAGCTGGGGAGGGCTGATGAGGGAGGGAAGGGAAGTGGCGGGAGGTGACAGGCCTGCCCTGCAGGCTGACAGGGAGGGTTGGGTTTGGCTGCCTCCTGCTCGGAAGTCCCCAGAAGCTGGGCCCCCCGGACCCCCAAGAAGTGGGCGGCACCGCCGTCCTGCTCTGGACACTGGCGCCACACAAGGAGGCTGATGCGACTCCTGGCAGGGGAGTAATCTCTTGTCCTGCCAGGGCCTGGGCCTTGCTCTCTGGGCTGGGGCCGTGGGTGTCTGTGAACCCTGCTGTGGCCCTGCCCGCGGGCTGGCACGTGTCAGCGCTGTGTCCTCAGCCGTGCTGTTCCCTTTGTCCCCCACCGCATCGCTCCCTCGGGGAGGAAGGTGCCAACGTTGATGTTCTCTCGCAAGGTAAGGGCGGAGGCTCGGCCTAGTAGAACCCCCCGGTAGAGCTGTGGAAGGGCCTGGGCCGGCTCAGGGCAAGGGACTTTCCGCAGAGCTGCCTGGGCCCAGACGCCACCCCAGCCCCTATCCTGTGAGCTTCTCTGCCCCTCCCTCCACCCTGCCCTTGGCTCTGCCACCCAGAGGGACAGGCTGCCTGTACTGCCCAGCTGTGCCCCACCCACCTGGGCTGCCACACCGGGATGCCACGGCAGGGGTGAGTCGTGTCCACGCTGGGCTCCATCGTCGCCCCTGCCCTCTCCTCTGGGAGCTGCTCGGGCTGTGATGCAGGGCATGCCCGGCCTTGCCTCTCAGGGGCTCCACGCCAGCCCCTGGGTACACAGCTGAGTGTCTGTTGACCCCCAGCTGTGCCAAGGTGGAGGGCAGGCTTCAGGACCCCGGCAGACCCTTCCCCTCCCCCTCCACCCAGCCTTGTAGAGGTTGTCCAGGCTTGGGGACTGGGAAGGGGCACTGGCTACCAGGCCACTCTGACCGGAACCCTCCTTTCTCCTCCCCATCCCGGACACCAGGGCCCCTACTGTGCTGTGTGCCCCGACTTCCCTACCCAGGCTGCAGAGGGACTGTGCGGGGGTACTGGAGTGTGTGCATGTGTGTGCGTGCACAGGTCTCTGTGGGCACCTGTGTGTGTGCATGTATATGGGTGTGTCCACCTAGGGGTGTGTTGCTCAAGGCACTGGAGGTGAGGGATGGGAGGACCCCAGGCCATGGCAGCTCCCCCATTCTCCAGTTCCTTCTCCACTTAGACCCAGTTCTGCAGGGGAGGGGGGGCGTGCAGGCATTGGAGGGGCTGGGGCCCTGGACTGGGGTGTGAGGAGGAACCCCAGGGGTGGGGAGGCTGAGGCAGGGCTGACAGGTGGAGCCCCTCGGCGGGTCTCTGGGAGGAGGCCAGATGCCCTGGCGCTGGACCCTGGCTTGGCCACCCACCTTGGGTAAGCAGAATGGCCTCAGTTTGCTCATCTGTAAAGTAGGGTTAATCGTCCCCACTGTGTGGTGGCTGTGAGCATGAAATGAGTAAGCGCTCAGTGTGCTCAGTACCTAAGGCTGTCCTGGAGGACTGCCTGGTGGCAGGCGCCCACCCCCCACCCCACAAACATGGACACATGGACACTCATGTCCACAGAGGAGCTGAGAAAACTGACAGAACTGCCAGTCCTGGGCACTTCATGGGAAAGGGCAAGAGGCCAGGATAAGGGACGTGCGTCCGGAAGGGCTGCCTCATCGTGCGAGCACTCATGGGGCCTCGGGGCCACGAGCATCGTCCCAGAGCAGGCCCCGCGGAGCACGGCAGAGCTGGAGCCCCACCCACTCCCGGCACAGCTCAGATACCCCCACCCCAGCCCTCAGCCGCTTCTCTGGCATCTTCCAAGGGGCCTGGCACATAGAAGGGGAGCAAACGCCCTGCCAGCCAGGCCCTGCATCAGCATTACCTCCTCAACCCTCACTGCAGCCCTGGGAAGTGGGAACCGTTAACGCCTTTTACGAATGATAAAGCTGAGGCTCCGGGCAAAGGAACTCATCCACTTACCCAGCTACTAAGTGCAGGAGCTGAGATCTGAACCCAGGCCAGCCTGGCTCCAAAACCCAGGCGCCCTTCCCCAGAAGCAGAGCAGTGGGCGGTTGGCAGCCCCCACCTGGGAGCTCCTCCAAACCGAGGTGGGGGGCCCCGGAGAAGAGCCTCAGCTCTTGGAGGTGGGCCTGGTCATGAGCGGCTCATCTTGGAATGATGTCGTGAGGTTGCCAGCTCTGCCCCACACCCGCCACAGCTGCCGCCCTCCACGACCCTGCACCATTCCAGAAGGAAAAATATAATTTTCGGAAGCAAGAGCAGGCACGCGGTCAGCTAAGCCCTGTCTGTTTACGGCTCCGTTTGTTCCCTGGCTGTGCACACTTGACCGATTGCTCAAAGTGAGTGACAGATGCCATCTTGTGGAGGGACCCTCCGCGGCTGGCCAGCTGTGTGGCCTCCGTGGACACAGACGGGCAGGGAGCTGTGCAGATCCAGAGGGAAATTGAGCCTGGTCTTCAGGACATAGACCATTTTCCCACGGCCACAAAGGGCTGTGTATGGACTCGTGGACAGAGGGTCACGTGGACTTAGGGTCAGTGAGGGAAGTTGCCGTGGTTGGGGAGCAGGGGGAGGGGAATCAGCAAGAGAGAAGGGCCTCCTTCAGAGAAAGGCGAGTCACCTGGCCTCCGTGACATGGGGAATAGAAAGAGAAAGGCCATCTGACAAAGACCCTCATGACGCCAAACCCGCCCTGGGCTGAGACATTCGGGGGAGGGGAGATTGTGCCAGCGCTGGGCCATCCTCACTCCCCGTTCTGCGAGTGTGGGGCCAGGAGGCTTCTGTGAAGAGGGTCATGAATGGACCCAGCCAGGAGGCCCAGGGGACAAGGATGTCTGCTGACCCAGGCCGCTGAGGCCCTGGCTGCTCTGTGTCCCCAAGCCCCGATTCACACCCTTTGCTGTTCTCTGCTCAGGGCCTGAAGCCGATGGACCACAACGGGCTGGCAGACCCGTACATCAAGCTGCATCTGCTGCCAGGAGCCAGTAAGGTGAGGGGTCTGCCCCAGGCCTCTGACCAGCCCTGTCCACCCGCCATGACTAAGGCCCAGGCTGGGCTTGGGGCACCCAGGGAGGCACATAGCTCCCACACCTCTCAGAGCCCAAGCAAGCTGATGGGACCCCAGCCATTCATCTCCACCCAGAGCACCCAGTCAGCCCCACACCCTCCAGACCTCCCAGGAACCTCAATCAGAACTACCTGCCTGCTGAGTTGGGAAGACCTTCTAGAGAATTTCCAAGCCAGCATTTTATAAGAAGCAGTCTCTGGGGCTGGCCCCGTGGCTTAGCGGTTAAGTGCGGGTGCTCCGCTACTGGCGGCCCAGGTTCGGATCCCAGGCGCGCACCGACGCACCGCTTCTCCGGCCATGCTGAGGCCGCGTCCCACATACGGCAACTAGAAGGATGTGCAACTATGACATACAACTATCTACTGGGGCTTTGGGGGGGGTGGGAAGAAGCAGTCTCAGCTGGAGGTTAATATTATGTGCAAACAAGGGTTCTGTGGTCAAATACCATTGGGGAACATTGTTAAACATGTTTCTCTACTGCAGGACTTAGAGCCTTTAATGTGTCGATTGGCTGCTCTGTGACGCTCCACAGGGGGGTTGGGGTGGGCAGCATCTGCCCAGTTCTTTTGACCACAGAACCCTTGTTTCCGTGCCAGATGACCCAACAGGCAGACCAAGCACATGGTGCATCTAGGAAAGGAGAGAAGTTTTTTTAGAAAAAATTTGCTATTAAACAAAAGCATCAAGGTGACCCTCAGCACTGGAAGATAAAACTTGGTTGGACTTCCTTACCTGTGTCTTGCAGTTCAGTATTATTTTATTTTAATTTCGTGGGAGGCAGGGTCACACCATCTTTTCAGGGTTGGGTCCTGCCCTGGCACCCACAGACATCTCAGGGGACGGGTTGTGCAGACCCCATTCCAAGGGGGACTTGACCAGAGAGCAGCAGCTTTGCTTCCAAGTGGAGACCAGGGGCAGGTGGGGGGACATGGGACACAGGACATGGGACCATAAGCAGCAGAGCCCGGTGGCTGATGTTCTCGTCCGGCCTCTGTCTCAGAAGTCCAGAGTGGGGAATTCCTTCCTGGCCCTCAAGCGGCCTGACAGGGAGGAAGAGTCAGTAACAGGAGGGCCCTCCTGGGCAGACGGCTCCCTGGCCACTGTTCTGGTTTCTTCCAGGCCAGTCAGACAGTCCTGCTCCCCGGCTGAGTAGCCACAGGCTGCTGGGGCCTGAGTTGCCTCTGAGGCCCAAACCCTCAGGGCAAGTGTGTAGGGCTGGGGCTCCCCCCCCAGTCCAGGAGGACCCCCCAGAAGGGGCGATTCCTCTTCTCTAGGCAGGCAGAGTGGTGGGAGAAACAGCGGTGGCCCACCGCCCACACCTGGAGAAGTGGGCTCCCCGCTCAGGCCTCGACGACCTCAGGCTGCGGGTGGGACTCCCAGGGCTGTGAGGGCTGAGGGCAGTGTGACGGGGGGAGTGTCCTGACTCGGAGCTCAGTGACCCTGAGTCTCTAGCCTCAAGTCAAGGGACTAGAGTTGGAAGTACCTGGAGGCTGAGTCGGAGGGCCCCCCACAGGAGTTCCTGCGTAGGACAGCGTTTCACAAAGAGCCGTCTCCTGATAAAGGAGGCTCCTGGAAACAACGCTGAGAGAGAGGTACTACTATCCCTTCTTATAGTGGGGAACATGACACTCACAGAGGGTAAGTCACCCAGGGCTCCACAGAGCTTGTGTAAACGGTGGAGCTGGGATTAGAACCCAGGGCTGTCTGGCCTCCAAGCCTGGGCCGGGTGTGGCAGACATCAAAGGGAATCAGACAAGGGGCTCAGAGTCTAATGGGTCAAGACAGGTAAGGCTATAAGAACTGAGATCCCCAGAAGCACCAAGGAAGGAGTGGAGGCAACACGGTAGCTTGGACAGGCCACCCCACAGGCCTTTTCTAGGAGAGGTGGCGTCCCGGGCAGAGGGGACAGCTTGAGCAAAGGTGAGGAGGTGTGAGGGAGAGAATGTAGGCTTCCCAGCAGCCCAGGCCCCACTGCCTCCTGCAGGACACACACACACACGCACACACGGGGCCTGGAGGCAGGGATCCTCCTGGTTTGCTTTCCTAGGGCTGCGGTGACAAATTACCGCCAACCTAGTGGCTCACAACAACACTTCTTATCTTCCAGTTCTGCAGGTTAGAAGTCAGCATAGGTCCCACTGGCTGAGATCAAGTGTTGCAGGGTTGCAGTCCATTCTGGAGGCTTCAGGGAGAAGCCATTTCCCAACCCTTTCCAGCTTCTAGAGGCTGCCCATATTCCTTGGCTCATGGCCCCTTTCTCCATCTTCAAAGCCAGCGTCGCATCTCTCTGACCTTCTTCCCTCATCACATCTCCCTCTGACTCTCCTCTCCTCCCTCCCTCTTCCGCTTTTAAAAACACTGATTACGTTGGGCCCCCACAGATCGTCTAGATAACCTCCCTATTTTAAAGTCAGCTGATTAACAACTTAATTCCTTCTGTGACCTTAATTCCCCTCTGCCGTGGACAGTAACATGGTCACAGGTTCTGGGGATTAGGTCTTTGGGGCGATTATTCTGGCCACTGCCCTCCTTGATGCTCATAGGATCATTTTTGCTCTCACCAGGCAAATAAGCTCAGAACGAAAACTCTCCGGAACACTCTGAACCCCACGTGGAACGAGACCCTAACTTACTACGGGATCACGGACGAAGACATGATCCGAAAGACCCTGCGGTGGGTGAGGGCCCTGAGGCCCGGGCATCTTCCCCACCCCCATCCCCACACCCCACCGCAGCCTTATCCCCAGGGGCTGGCCCTGCACACACACTCACACACACCACTGCGTGCAAATCCCCACTGACTCTGGAGGCACATTGGGAGCACCCAGTGTCTGAAGAGCTGGCCCTGCCCTCGCCCTGCAGCATTTCCGTGTGCGATGAGGACAAGTTCCGCCACAACGAGTTCATCGGGGAGACGCGTGTGCCCCTGAAGAAGCTGAAACCCAACCACACCAAGACGTTCAGCATCTGCCTGGAGAAGCAGCTGCCGGTGAGCAGCCCCGGGTTCTGCAGGCCGTCAGGGCCCTCCCGGCAGGAGCTCGGGCCAGCTACATTTATGAACACCTGCGGTGCACCTGGCACGGCTGCAGGTGCTGGGAGCCCGACAGAAATCCCATCCTCACGGAGCTTGGGCAGGGGACAGACCAAACACGAGATAAATCACCCCAACAGATTGTATGTTAGACAGTGGTCAGGCCAGGAAGGAAAGCAGGAGAGGGGTCGATGGTTTAGACGGGTGCTTGGGGAAGGGCTCCCTGGGCCAGCCGGGAACATTCCAGGCAGAGGGAAGAGCAGGTGCGAAGCCCCATGTGGGAAAGTGCTCAGGCCGTTGGAGGCACAGGCAAGAGGCCTGCTGAGTGGGGCAGAGAGAGAGGGAGGGGGTCCTAGGAGTTGAGAGCAGAGGTTGGGGTGGGGAACTGGGAAGAACTCGGGCCTTCACCCTGAGTGAGACGGACCAGGGGAGGTGCTAGGAAGGGGCTAGGGCATCTGACTGTGTTTAACAGGCTTGCTGGGCTCAGAATGGGAGGGAGAGGGGAGTGAGGGCGGGAACAGTGAGGAGGGGACGAGCAAGACCCAGGCCTGGGCTGGGGCCACAGCGGAGGGGGACGCACAGGATCCTGGATGGTGTGGGGGCTGGGCACCTGCAAGAACGAAGGATCCTTAACCATGATGCGGAGGACCGTGGGAGGAGCAGCTGGGGACACCTGGGGCCCAACTGGAACACGTTAGGGGTGAGGTGCCTGTGAGATACCCGGAGGAGACAGAAAATAATTCTTTCCTAGAAATTGCAATTGTTTGAAAATGATGTCAACACTGATTCTGCCCCCTGGCCATCCGCGCCTGCTGAGCCCTCCCAGGGTCTGGCCCATGTGTCTGCGCCTTCCTCCCTCCCTCCCTCTCCCAGAGGCCTCGCCCTTACCCAGTTCAAAAGGGCTGGTAGGGGGTGGCCAGGAGGCCCCCAGGTCCTGAGAAACCTTGACCCTCCGGCAGCCCAGTGTTGAGAGCACAGTCCCCTTCCCGGACATTTTCCCCCAGAGGCCTGGGCAAGGGGAATGCTCCAGAGGACAGGGCACAGCAGCCGTCCCCTGTGCCTCCCCCCAGAGGGGGTGCTGGGACAGATGCTCAGCACAGCCTGGTCTGAGTGAAGCCCTGGGAACCAGTTGACCTGAGGCCCGAGCTCCCTCCCCAATCCCAGCTCTGTCTTTTTGCACAACTTGATCAAATTTCACTCCCTCATCATGTTCTCTCCCACTCGCAGGCATTTATGTGATGGATATAACCTTTTTCATTTTATTATTAGTCGTTAACCACAGGTAACCCAGTTTTTCCAAATGATCCATGTCACTTGCAAAAGGCAACATCGACTCCCACTCTAGTTGTCTTCCTGAGTTTTGAGCCCTGGCAACTGTGTGTGGGGGGGGGCGGTGAGCATGCGTGTGTATGTGTGTGTGTGAATTGCATGTGAGAGCATTGTGTATGTGTGTGAGTGCGTTTCTACGTGTGAAAGTGTGTGTGGGCACGTGTTTGTGTGTGTGGAGTGTGTGTGGAATGTGTGTGTTCGTGCACGTGAATGTGTGAGAGTGCGCGTGCCTGTTCACGGGGCGTGATCAGGGCGTTGCTGAGCCTTGCTCACCAGTAACTCATTGGTCTGCCTTTGGGGACGCACAGCAACCACAGGGGAGTGGTTGGGGATAACCGCTCTGGCAGTAAAGACACATTTTGGGGGCCGGCCTGGTAGTGCAAGTGGTTAAGTACGCGCTCCGCTTCACCTCCCAGGAGCCCCATCTCCAGAGAGGTGTAGGTGTGGCCCCTGCCTACGTGAGTCCATGTGTGGTGTCACTTTAGTGCCAGGCAGAGGACAATTGTGGGCAAAGGGACGTGGCTGGGACTTCGTGTGAGAGAAGCCTGGCAGAGAGGGCTAAGGCGAGGCCCCGGAGGGTCACAGGGCTCCGGCTGGGTGTGTCTGGGTGGACAGAGGGTAAAGGAGAGCAGCAGCCAGAAGGTGGAAACAGGTGGTCTTGGGAGAGCGAGGAATGGAGAAACAGCGGGCTGTGGGATGGGGAGGCCCGACGGTGAGGCCTAGAGTCAAGGTGCGATCCCAGAAGCAGGCGGATGCTGGGGTGCAGGGCGGATGCTGGGGCACAGGAGGGGCCTGGGCGACCCCACCTGCCTGCCCGCTCCCCCTGGGTTGGGAATGTATCAAAGCCCTGTCTTCTGGGTTCTCCCCGAGGGGCCGCCCCCTGCACCCTGAGAGGCTCCAGGAGGCACCTTCAGGGGGATTGGAGCCAGGGTGACCCCTCACCACCCACCAGGCTCCGTTTGGCCTGGGCCCGTGGACAGCCTTGGTGGCCCGTGGCTGAGGGAGGAAGTGGGAGCAGGAGAGGACAGCCGAGTGACCGCCCGCCCCACAGGTGGACAAGACGGAAGACAAGTCCCTGGAGGAGCGGGGCCGCATCCTCATCTCCCTCAAGTACAGCTCGCAGAAGCAGGGCCTGCTGGTCGGCATCGTGCGCTGCGCACACCTGGCCGCCATGGATGCCAACGGCTACTCGGACCCCTACGTGAAAACGTGAGTGTGCGGCCCGGGCCGGCGCCTCCTTCCCCGCTCACCTCAAGGGACGGGAGGTCTGTGTGACAAGACTAGTAGTCTGGTGGGGCAGACACTCTGCCCACAGGGACGTGTTCTCTTCTGTGCTCCTTCCACAACTCTGTGAGTTAAGTCTGGCCAGCCCCACTTCACAGATGAGGAAACTGAGGCCCAAAGAACTTGAGTGGCCTCCAAGGCCACAGGGATAGAGAGTAATTATCTCCTGATGCCCCATTCAGGCCTCCCCGTGACCACAGGGCCCATGAGCAGGTGGGAGGAGGGGCAGGAGGGAGCAGGGCCCATGCCAGGAGGCCGGGAGATCCAGTGAAGAAACTCCGCCAGGACTTAGGGCTGCCCACGTGTGCTCAGCCCTGTGCTGGTGCCACAGGTGCAGGTAAGGATCTGCCCAGCCCTGCCAGTGGGGGCTCATGGTGGCGCTGGGGAAAGACACTAACTTAGGGGGGCCATGCCAGTTGACCTGGGCCCCAGAGCTGTGATCCTGTGCCAGGATAGGCTATGATCCGCTCTGAGGGGAGGCGGGAGCTGGTGGCCCTTCAGAGAGAGATGAAGCTGCTGTCGTGGTGAGCACCATCAGTGTTTTGGGCCCTCCACAAACAAAAGATGGATGTTAGTCTGCGTTCACAGTGAGACTCTTGAAGCATGGGACTTGGGGAGGAATTTGGCTCAGCAGAAAGGAGATATTCCTGCTCAGGCAGAGGGAAAGAGGAGTTAAGATACAGAAGCAGGCATGGGCCTGGCCTGAGGGGACAGTGAGCAGACCCAGGTGACAGAGGCCATGGGGACGTCTTGACACCACAGAGAGGCCAGTGCTGCTGCATGGCCCAACTCTGGGGCCACCATTCCCAATGGCCACTATCATATTTCTGTCACTTTTTAAATCAGATGAAAAAAATGGTGTAGCCACTTTGGAAAACAGTCTGGCAGTTCCTCAAAAGGTTAAACATGGAATCACCATTCGACCCAACAATCCCACTCCTAGGGATATACCCAAGAGAACTGAAAATAATGTCCACACAGAAACTTGTACATGAACATTCATAGCAGCACTATTCCCAATAGACAAAATGTGGAAACAACCTAAATGTCCATCAGCTGATGAGTGGATAAACATATCCACACAATGGAATATTATTCAGCCATAAAAAGGAGGGAAGCGCTGATGCATGCTACAATATGGATGAACCTTGCAAACGTTATGCTAAGTGAAAGAAGCCAGACACAAAAGGCCACACATTGTATGCCTCCATTTGTATGAAATGTCCAGAACAGGCAAATCTATGGAGACAGAAAGTAGATCAGTGGTTGCCAGGGGCCAGGGAGAGGTTGGGGGGAAATGCCGAGTGACTGCTAATGGGAACTGGATTTCCTTCTGGGTGATAAAAATGTTCTACAGTTGATTGTGCTGATGGTTGCACAACTCCATGAATATACTAAAAACCATGGAATTGTGTACTTTAAAAGGATGCATTGTACAGCATGTGAACTATATCTCAATGAAGCTGTTATTTTTTTAAAACCCGGTGCCACCAGGCTCCAGGAGCAGCACCCCGGCATAATGGGAAGCTGACCAGCATCACTTGGGGAGGGCCGAGTCCCTGCAAATGGCGCGGGGACTACTGCTTTTCCACATAAAAAATGATGAGCTGGGCCCCAACTCAACCATTAGCAAAACAGTGATTTCCAGTGGACTAGAGGCCACTGCGAGAAGCGCTGTATCGGTTCGGGAGACTCTTGAGAGCCTTGGAGGGCAAGTCGGCAGTGTGCCGTAAGCTGGGCAAGCCTGCGTGCCCTATGGCTGCACCTTCGCCTTCCAGGTTTGTGGCCCAGAAACCCATGCACGGGTGGAAAGCTGTTTATTGCGGCACTGCTTGTCTTAGCGATAAACTGGAAATAGCCACGGGTTCGTCAGCAGAGGACTAGGTTAATAAAATGTGGCATATGCATATAATGGAGTACTATGCAGTTCAAATGAGTAAATTAGGACTAGATGAATTAACGTGGACAGCTCTGCCAAACATGCTGAGCCCGAAAGCAAACTGCAGAACTGGACAGGCAGTGTGAGACTGTTCCTGTGCATTTCTGAAGCCCTGCTGGTGGCTCACGGTAGCAATGGGCTCTAGGGAGGGAGGAAGGGAAAGGACTAGAGAGGGGAGCTGGGTACCTCCACCTGTGCCTGTCATCCTAGAGTTTTCTTACAGAGGGAAATAAAATCTGAAGCCAAAATGGTGGGAAAATTTTAAATCAGGCTCAGCGCCCACCTGCCAGGTTGACAGGAATTCGAGGGTCCCCTGCTGGGTTATCCAGAAAGCAGGGTCTCCCCTGGTACAACACAGGGTCCAGCCAGTGCCCCCGGCCAGACAGAGGCAGCCCTGGCAAGGCCCGTCCACCACGCCTGGGGCTCCTCTGCCACACGTGTGGGAGCTGCTGGGCCCACTGCAGCTGTAGCCCACCCCCCAGCCGTGGGCCAGGTCAGCGTGGCCTTTCAAAGACCAGCAGACCTGTGGGTGGCTCCCTGTATCAGAGCCACGCTTCCCCTGAGGGCCCCACAGCAGCCTAGAAATGCCCACGTCTGGGTGAGATGTGGGAGCTGCCGCTCAGGGCCCCCCATCTCCGAAAGGCCCCTTCCTAGACCGTGGGCCTCTTTCTTGCTAAAAGCAGGGGAAACAAAGGCAAAGGTTAGATTCTGAGCAGGGTGCCCCTGAGGCTGTGTCCCTGGCAGGGGACCCATGACTCCAAGAAGAGAGCCAGCTAGGGAAGTGCCAAGGGGCAGATGCTGAGGGGCAGAACTAGACGCGCCAGGGCCTTTTGGCGCCTGATTTTTATAAACCTCATCCCAGGTGACACCTGCCTCAGTTTCCCCAGGCTGAAAGTTGACCCCAAATCCAGCTCTTCAGGGTGTGATGGAAAAAACCAGGGGTCACCATGAGAGTGATAATCATCACTAACATGCACTGGGTAATTGCTCTGTGCTGGGGCTGGGCTGGGCCTCACTGAACCCGCCTAAGGGCCTCTGCAGTCACATCTGTCACTCTCTCCATTTCACACCCGGAGGACTGAGGAAATGAAGCACCTTGCCGTGCTACCTGGGCAGCTCCTTCCTTCTCTGGCCCTATGGACTCTGCTAGGGGCCTTAGACGAGCAGCAGAAGGGACCAGAGGTGGCACTGCCGGGGAGGAGGATGGGGTCCTGACAGCGAGGGAGGGAGAGAGGGCACCAGGCCAGCCTCTGGGGCTTTGCCGGTGTGGGCCCCCTGCCTACACAGGTCGCACTCGGGAGCAGCTCACCTGGAGTGGTGAGGTGAGCCAGGAAGGGTGCTCCCGCAGAGGAAACAGCGGACAGAGGACCGTCCCTAGGGAACTGTCCGGGGCTGGAGGCCCTGAGGCTGGTGGCCTCTGTGGGGGCGCAGTGGCCGGGTGAGGGGTGACTAGGTGGACATCAGCCGTGCAGCACTGAGGGCGTGGGGATCCTGGAACAACTTTCCTTCCAGGGGCTTCTGAAGACCGGCTCCCCTGTCCCTCCTTCTCACACCCAGAGCAAAGGACAGGTCACAGAAAACAAAATACCAATGAAATAGCAAAATGGCCAACAAGCGTACGGAAGTGTGTAAGGAACTGAAGACATTCACCTGGGTGGGGTTAAAAGAACCCCCAACCTGTTTTACAAGTCGCGTTTATTGAGTACAAGGTACAGACAGTAAATTTCTCCCCTTTTGAGGTTTGACTGATATATCCAATCTTGTTACCACCACCACAGTCGAGATATAGAATCTTTTATCCCCCCAGAAAGCTCCCCCAGCCCCAGGCAACCACTGACTTGTTTTCTGTCCTAATAGTTTTGCCTTTTCCAGACTTTCTTAAAAAATGACTGGACAGTGTGTCACCTTTTGCATCTGGCTGCTTTCACTTAGCATAACGCACGGGAGAGTCATCCACGTGGCTGTGAGCCAGCAGCCTAGTTTTCCTTACTGCTGAGTGTCCTCCATCGGACAGAGGAGCCACAGGTGTGGTCACGTCAGGGTGAAGAGCACGTGGGTCGTGTCGCGTTGTGGGTGACTGTACAGAGCTGCTGAACGGCAGGTTTCCGTGTGGACCTGTGTCTTCCTTTCTCTCCCCCACCCCCAACTTTTGTCAGTACATATTTTCTAGTGTTTCTGTAATGAGCCAGTGTTACTTATGCAATGAAAATCACAATTAAAAAAATAATAAATGCAAAGTAAAGCAACAGCGAGATACCACTTTCTACCTTTCAAACCAGCAAGAAGGATTTTTAAGGCGATGGTACTCAGCTTTCCGGAAGGCAATTTTGGCAAAATGAAGCAAGAAGCTTGACATATGCGAGCCTTTGGGTGGGTAATTTCACTTCTAGGAATCAATCATTCATCCAACAGATGTTTAGGGAGCTACCCAGTGCCAGGCCCCGAGCTGGGTGCCAGGAAGCTGGTGGTGGGTGAGACAGATGTAGTCCTCGCCCCCAGAGCACCCTTCGCAGGGGCAGGGCAGTTGTCACTCAAGTGTGGATGCAGGGACAGGGTGAGAAGTTCTGCAAAGGAGAGGTTCTGGGCCTCCTGTCCTGGCTCTGAGCACCAGCCCTGTGCTGAGCAGCTGTGTGACCTTGGGCAAGTCCCTCTCTGAGCCTCTGATGAAGACAGCTGTTCTGCATTCAAAGTCTAAGGCGCCTATGGAGAGAGGGAGCTCCCAAGCCGGGCTTCCCTCTCCCTGCGGAAGCATCGTTGTTATTGCTCAAAAGGCCTTTTTCCTTCCTCAAAGCTCCAGTGAGTAGTGGCGATGGTTGCGTAAACTCTGGGAATATGCTAAAAAAATGCTGCATTTTACACTTTAGAAAGATGGATTTTGGGCCGGCCCCGTGGCTTGGTGGTTAAGTGCACGCACTCCGATGCTGGCGGCCCGGGTTCGGATCCCGGGTGCGCACCGAGGCACCACTTCTCCGTTCATCCTGGGGCCGAGTCCCACATACAGCAACTGGAAGGATGTGCAGCTATGACATACAACTATCTACTGGGGCTTTGGGGGGAAAAAATAAATAAATAAAATCTTTAAAAAAAAAAGAAAGATGGATTTTATAGTATGTGGATTGTGTCTCATTAAATCTGCTTTTGAAAAAAAAGAAAAGCTCCAACAAGGGGCCAACTCTGCTAAAAATGTTTTTCTGGTGGGAAATGTGAGCTTTGTGAAAGTTAGATTTCCAGAAACAAGGAAAATCCTCTTTCCTCGGGGGCTGGAGGGGCTCCGTGCTTAGCTCCAGAAATGGGCCTGTGAACAGTGGTCCAGCTGAAGAAGGAACCACATGCTTCTCCCTCTGCAGCTGGCCGCCCACCTCCGCCACAAGGTGGTGCTGGGGAATCCGATGACTAGGACGAACGGGGCCGGGGGTGTCTCTCGGGGACAAAAGGCTCTTCCAGGCCCTGCTGGCTGCAGCTGACCCATAGCTTTCCCCCCACCCCCTGCTTGTCCATCCGTTACAATTCCAGATACCTGAAGCCGGATGTGGACAAGAAATCCAAACACAAGACGGCGGTGAAGAAGAAGACCCTGAACCCGGAGTTCAACGAGGTACGAGGGGCTGGTGGAGCTGCAGGAAAGCCGCTCACTCTCCCCCTGGGCAGGGGACCTGGAGGGACTGGGTTTCCAGAGGCCACTGGGAGCTGGAGAGTGGGAAGAGAGGGTGGGTAGGGGCCGACAGGAGAGCCCCCGGCCATGGAGGCAAGGGGAGAGGCAAGGCCAGGCTGAACCAGGCCAAGGTGGTGCAGATGGAGGGGAGGGGGGCTGGAAAGCTCCTCATAGGATCGAATTGATGGCATTGTGGCCATGTTGGATGTGGATGTGGGAGTGGGGGTCCCAGCAGCAGGAGGGGGAGGTGTGAGGGAGGTGGGGGAAGCTCTGGGTGGGATGTGGGATAAGATGCCCCAGGGCCAGGGGCAGGTCGGGTACAGATGGATGCCCAGGTCCTCAGCCCAGTGGGGAGATGAGGGAGAGGAGCAGAGGGGCCTCGGGCAGAGCCTGATGCTTCCAGAAAGTGAGGGGGATTCCAGATGTAGGAGCATCCCGGAAGCCAGTAGGAGAGATGGTTCCACAAATAAGGGAGTGGTCAGCAGAGCCAGACCCGAGAGAGGTCAATCACACCAAGGCTGCCAAGTGTGCACAGATTTGGCAATAAGGAAGCTCTTGAGAGAGTGGCTTCAGTGACAAAGGGGCAGATGGTTGGAGGGAAGGGGACCCCGAGGACCCGGCTGGGCTCTCAGGCAGAAGCTGGGTGAGAATCCACCGTTGTCCACCACCGTGCACTGACCGCCCTCCCATCCCTCCTCCCTCCCTCCATTCACGCCCTCCCCACACCTCAGAGCCCTCCTGGCCACCGGCCGAGTTCCAGGCATTGGCCCTGACTCTCCCCTTCTGGCCACCAGGAGTTCTGTTACGAGATTAAGCACGGGGACCTGGCCAAGAAGACCCTGGAAGTCACCGTTTGGGATTACGACATTGGAAAATCCAACGATTTCATTGGTAAGAGGACGTGACAAGAATGCCTCCTGCCCACCCTGGGCTCAGCAAAGGGCACTGGCCCTGGATCAACCCACAGCCCCTCCTTCCGGGCCTCTGGGGAAAGCTGGGGCCAGAGACCACCTCTCCCCAGACATGAGGGGCCTCAGACGCTATCCAGCCTGACCCCATGTGATAGAGAAGAGAGGCCCAGAGAAGGAAAGAGGCCTGGGAGGGTCACACAGCAGTCTGGGGTGGAGCAGGGGCGAGAGGTAAGGATGGTCAGTGCCTCGGGCTGGACTCAGCCCTTGTGGCCCCGAATTCCTGGTGGGCTTGGTTGCTCTGCACAGTGGAGCTACCCTGGCCCTTTCTGCCCCTTTTTGCCCCCATCCCTTAGCCCCTAACACATGCCCCTGCGCTCCACCCCCAGCACTGCTCTGGTCCTGGAGAGAGGAAGGGCAGGATCTCGGGCCCTGACCTGGGGGCGCCAAGAGTGTGGCATGGTGTTCAGACCACTGTCTACCCTCAGAGCCCGGTGGGCAGGGTGGAGAGTCCGGCCTCGGAGCACGGAATCTGTGAGGGGTGTCGGGGGGCATTGGTTGCAGAGGGATGGGCCTATGGATGGCTCCTGGGGGTCAGGAGGTCACTGTGTCCCCGGCTGCCCCTGGCTCCCTCCGCAGGCGGCGTGGTTCTGGGCATCAACGCCAAGGGCGAGCGCCTGAAGCACTGGTTTGACTGTCTGAAGAACAAGGACAAGCGCATCGAGCGCTGGCACACGCTCACCAATGAGCTCCCGGGGGCCGTGCTCAGCGACTGACCGGCCCACCTGCCGCCGTGCCCGCCCCCGCCCTCCGCTGGCCCAGCACGGGCCTGGCCCTGGGCTTCCTCAGCTGCCACCAAGGGCCTTTGCCCCCATGTTGGGGGAGATCCAGGACACCTGCTTGGACACAGAGCCACTGTAGCCCCTGCTTGGAGGCCGCGGAGGGCCCAGCCACTCTGAAGGACAATGAGAGCAGAGAGCCGGGCCTGCTTTCAGCCCCCGGGGCCGAGAGGGCCGGAGGTGGGAGGAGAGAACCAGGCCCTCACCCACCTGGGGAAGGGAATGGGACCATCAGGGTCGAGGACCTGCTAGAGGTCAGCAGTAAGTCACCGGGGACCCCAGGCTGAGAGCACAGGAGTGCAGGTGGGCCCTGGCAGGCTGTGAGAACTCCTGAGAGGGACAGTAGGGAGGGGCATAGGGGGAGGAGATTGCGGACAGGGCAGGGCAGGACTCTGAAGAAAATTTATTCCCAAAAGGAGGTTCTGACTTCCTCATCCCTTCATCTCTGGCATTACTGGGCAGGCGGAAAAAAGTTGACACAAGAGCCAGGAGATTGGTGAACTTCCTAGAGGCTCCCAAGAACACTGGAAATTGGCAGGTGCTTCACTCAATGATTCCACAAGCCCCTGGGGATGCAGCAGACCCAGGGCCTGCCCTCGGGGAGGTCCTGTCTAGTCAGGAAGCTGGAAACAACCCATTATAACAGGAGTCAGGGATGCCAGGCCAGCCTGGCCCGCCTGCGAGGGCTGTGGATTCTGCTGACTCTGCTGGGGAGGCAGGGAGGGCTTTCCAGAGGCGGCAATTCTTCAGCAAGGCCTTGAGGGGTGAGGAGTTTCCAGGCAGACAAAGGGGAAGGGCCATGCAGGCCGTGGGACTGGTCTACAAAGGCCTGGAGGGGAGAGAGTAGTGACTGGGCCCGGGGTGCTGTGCAGGACCGGGGTCTGTCTCACCCCTGGCTGCCCTGCCAGCCTGGGCTCGTAGGTGCGGGGGAAGTGGCCGGAGCACCATGGTGAAACTGATGTCAGTGCAGGGTCAAGTTCAGTCCTCACGCCCAGTTCCCCCACCTTCCATCTCTCTCCTCCTGAGGAACCCGAGGATGGACCTGCGTCTCGGTCTTCCCAGCTTAAGCATTAGGTCAGCTCAAGAGGAGATAAGGTCCTTTTTTTTTGCATGAAAAAAAGCAAAAAGTCCTTGTCCTCACCCTCCTCTTCCCTTCCCCTGCCCCCACCTGGGCCCTCCTGGGGTCAGGGCTGGGTAGTGGGGGCCCCAGGTGGCTGCCCATGCATCCTGGCCCTAGGTGGCCCTCTCAGGAGTACTGGGCAGCAGTCCAGGGCCCCATTTCTGGGAAGGCCTGTGGCGCTGGCTCCGCCCTCAGAGCTGAGAGACACCCTGCCTGGTGGGCCTGTCTGCACCCTGAGGCAGGGTCCCCAGGGAGGGGTTGAGGGCATCGGAATCTTGAGGCCCAGGTCTGAAGCCCCAAATTTTTCCTGCCCACTTAAGCGGCCTTCAGGAATGCTGGACGAACAAATGCAGAACCAAGGAATCACTGAAGGGAAACAGAGGCCCAGAGAGGGAAAGGGACTTGCCGAAGGCCTTCCAGCCCTACCACAGCTGGGGCGGACGAGGCCCCATGGCCCCTGCCCCACCGCCAGCCCAGAGCTCTGGACACCACACTTCAGGGGAAGTAGGGTGCTGGGCTCACACGAGAGGTCCTGCTAGCTGCCCACCTGGGGCTCACCCCTGCCTGCCACCCACCCACACCGATGCTAGTAGCAGGGGGCGTGGAGCTGCAGACCTTCTGCTACAGACACAAAGCACATCACCATCTGAGGCCTGGGGTGATGATTTGAATCCCACCAAGTGCCATCAGCCCTTTCCCAGTTTGCAGGGAAAACAGGCCTCTGGCCCCCACACTGTACCTGGCAACCTTTGCTGGTCATGGAGCCTTGGCTTTGTGTGTGTTAAAGGTTTTATGTGCACTGTCTTGATGAATCTTCACAACTTTGCGAGGTGGGTTTAACTGTCATCCCCATTTGACAGATGAGGAAGCTGAGATTCAGAAAGGCTGAGTATGGTAGTTTATCAACGTCACACAGCTGGGAAAGGGCGAACCAGGACTCAAGTCCAGGTCCTCTGACTGCCACATCCTCTGGTTGTCTGGGGGACGGTATGCCCCAGTCCCCTTCCTCCTGGGCTGTTGAGGGCTCAGCAGAGATACTCAAGCAAAGACTTGTCAAGCTCTGTGCGTGATGGGGGTGTGGGGCCCTGTCACTGTCTTGCTGTCTCATCCTCTAGATGGCTTTAAAATCATTTGTGCCCCTTAGGGCTTCCCCAGAGGTCCCTGCGCCCCGGCCGGAACTCAGCTGCCCCTCCGCAGCCTCTGAGCCTGTGGGCCAGGCCCTGCTTCTCAAGGAGACTGAGGCAAGGGCTCCTCTTTCCTCCATGCAGCTGGAATGGGGGAACCTCTGGGGGCCTAAGAGGGGAGATGGTCTGTTTTTGAGGGGACTCTTGTCTGGGTGAGCTCAGGGTATCTTAGCATTGCCTTTTGGGGGGCCTCATTCAGAGAGGAGCCTCACAGCCTCCCTGTCAAGACGTGGAAATGCTGAATGGCAAAGCTAGAAGGGGCTGTGAGTCTCCCCTAGCACAATTTCCTTACTAGACACACGGGGAAACTGAGGCCCAGCGAGTGGAAGGGGCCTATCCAGGGCCCATTTGGGACAAAAACCCAGGACTCCTGGCACCCAGTCCAGGGCCCTCTACTGCCACAAGCTGTGCAAGGGTAGACTTGGTCCTGAAACATGGTCCCAGCTCACCGCAGGGACAGTCAGGCTGGGAGATGGGGCTTCTGGACAGCCGGCCCAAGCGGAGGATGGGGCGCTTGGGCAGGAGGCCCCCAAGGGAGTGACAGAACCTTCCCCAGGACCTTGGCACTGTTCTGGACTCCTTGCAGACTGTATCTTGGTTAAAGAAAAAGCTCCTTGAGAAGCTGCAGTATCAGCTCTGCCTTTGACCCCAAAGTGGCATCTTTCCTCTGGGCCATCAGCCCCACAAAGACGGGAAATTTGACGCCAAAAATGTCATTCCAAAGTCAGGTGTCAGTAACCGGGGGTCCCCCGTGCGCTGCACCCACCTCTCTCCCTTGTCTCCGCCCCGCCCACTGCCACCACTAGCCAATCCCCGACGGGCCCGTCTTCCAACCCTGAAGCGGTAACCTCCTGACCTCTAGTGGCTAGAGTGAGGAACTGCACCTCCCCGGCCCGTGCATGACCTACCCTTTTTCCTTCTCTAACCGAGAGAACCTCCCGATGCATGGACTCTGGCTGTCGTCGATGCAGACTCACGTGCACTGCTTAACACCGTTTTGCTACCATGTGAGGGCTGCAGAAGCCGTCCTTAAACTGCAGCCACACACACAATTTTTGTACTTTCGTCTTACCCGAAGGTGTCCTTTTTAAGTCTTATTTGTTAATATTTATAATGACATATAATCCAAAGTAAATGGAAATGTTCATTGCCATCATATTGGCCTGGGAGACTCTCATTTTGAAAAATTTGCATGAGTGGGCAGGAAAGAAGGAGAGAATGGCAACTGGGGCTTATTCAGCACATTTTCTCGTTTACTCTTCATCAAGAACCCATTTGAGGTAGGTTCCCATGTTACAGATGTGGAAACTAAGGCTCAGAGAATTTAAAATATTGGTGCAGGGGCCGGCTTGGTGGCGTGGTGGTTAAGTTCGTGCACTCTGCTTCAGCGGCCCAGGGTTCACAAGTTTGGCTCCTGGGCATGGACCTATGCACCACTCATCAAGCTGTGCTGTGACGGTGACCCACATACAGAATGGAGGCTGGGCACGGATGATAGCTCAGAGCCAATCTTCCTCAGCAAATAAATTAATTAATTAAATATTGGTGAAGAATCACACAGCTGGTAAGTGACAGAACCAGGATTCAACTCATGCCTCCCAAGACTCTACACCAGGCTCAGTATGCCATGCTATCATCCAGTCATTCAACAAACAGCTGTGGGTAGTAAGTCTAATGCCAGGCACTGGTCTAGGCACCTGGGGCAGATTCATCAGCAAGACAGTCAATAAACAGTAGTATAATAATGATTTGTTAAAATATGACAAGAAAAAAAAAAGATGGGCATGAAGGACTCATGTGGGCCGGGGAGGTTGGGCTTAAATAGAGAGGTCAGGTGGACCTCCAGAGAAGGTGACTTTTGAGCTGAGACTTGGAGGGGTTGAGGGAGGGAACTGTGGGGAAACTTGGGGAAGAGTGTTCCGGGTGGAGGGAACAGCCAGTGCCCTTAGAGGTGGGGGCAGGCTAGGTGTGACTGAGGAATAGCAAGGAGGCCAGTGTGGCCAGAGCAGGGTGGGACAAGGGAAGAGCGGTAGATGAGGGCAGAGGGGGGCAGGGGACCAGATCAAGTAGGACTTCATAAAGACTGTGGCTTTCACTCTGTGTGAGATGGGAGAGGACTTCGGTTCTAACAGTCCACCTGGTAGAGAACAAACCTGTGTTCTGGGGCAGGTGATCAAGCCCAGTTTGGCGATCCCTCTGGTTGTGGCATGCTAGTGTGTCCAAGGTTCAAGGCCCAAAAGGTGTTCAGTGTCCAGAGCAGTAGCAGCTGGGTCCTAACCATAGCCTGCTGTGGCGTGACTTTGGTCAGGGTTCTGGCCACCAGCCTCCCTCAGCAACCGCCTCTGTGCTGGCCTGATTTTCTGGGCCTCCCACCCATTCTCTGAACTCCCCGATACCCTTCCAGTGCATTCCTTTTCCACTTCCATTAACTAGAGTCGGATCCTGTTATTTCGACAAGGAACCCTGCCTGGTGCTCTGATGCGATCTGATCCTCTAGGTCTCAAGTGTCTCCCCCTTGTGAGGCCTGCCCTGACGGCCTCAGTCACTGTCTCCCACATCACCCTGCTTTCTTTTCTTCATGGCACTTACACTAAAATCATCTTGTGTGTTTGCTCATTCCTTTCTCCCCTCGCTAACCATCATGAGACTAGGGGCCACATCTGTCGGATTTACCCCAATGACCCCAGACCAGGACTGAGCACAGAGTAGGCCTCTAGTAAGTATCTGTTGACTGAATGGATGAAGGCTGCCAACACGGACATTGTTTGAAAGGAGCCAAGCCCATGTGTCTGGAGCATGTGGTTATGATGATGTCGGGTCCGAGCCCAGATGAGTGTGCACGAGGCTCCTGTTAGCCCCAAAGACTCCTGGGGCACAGATGAGAAAGGACCCCAGGTACCACAGGATGATCCTGAGTAAAGAAAGGGAGAGAATGAGAAGAGGAGGGGAAAGAAGGGAGAAAGGAAGAGTGGAAGGAGAAAGAGAGGAAGGCTGAGGAGGACTGAGGAGGAAAGGAAGAAAAGGGATGGCAGGAATGGGCTGGGAAGAGCCGTGAAGGCAGGTGGGGCCCAGGAAAGCCAGCCACTGCTCCTCCCCATGCTCCGAGCCCCAGGGGAAGTGGCCACCCAGAATGGGCCGAAGATACGGCTTTCCGTAGTGTCCAGTCCCCGGGGAGAGTGCTGCAGGCAGGGCCTGAAGAGGGGTC